CTCAAATTACTCACATCCTCTCTACAGCCGGTCTCCGGTCAAACCCCCTACGATCCTGATCAAGTTATTAAAAAATCGTCAAATCGTGCACCAACCAACATTGGAGCACCACGCTTGTAGGGGGGAAACGCGCCACCCAGAGCCTCCATAAGTGCATATTTCACTTTAAGGATTGTTTATGACAAAAAAACAAGCAATCATTGTTTAATTAAGCATTCTAAAAAAACACTGCTTAATTAAACATTGTTGCTTCTGAGTTGCGCAGCTATTAAGGCGCACATCTTTATGTGGAATGCGTTCTGACTTATAATACTTTCATTTTACACCGTCTGTTTTTTCCATGCCAAAAGTAAGTGCCCTTTGAACATATCTCCTTTAAAGACACGTTGCAAGGTATGCATGAGCAACAACAACTTCTGCTGCTCGTAGTTATTTGTGCCTCTGATGAGGCATTTTGTCTGCCAATATCCTGAAGCTCCAAGCCATGCCTCAAAAATACACTCGTTTCCCTGCGCTCACATTGCTTCGGAAAAGCACACAAGGGCAGCCCCAAGAGCAGCTCCTTGTCATTCAGGGCCAAAGCTGCTCTAGGTTGGCAGTTCAGCCAGCCAAGACTTTGGTGCTCCAGCAAGACCCGAGTGTTACAGCGCATGAATTACTTCATGCGGCATCAGCATGTACAGCTTTCATTTCTCGCGTCCGTTGCTTCAATGACGGTCCTGAAGCACCTTGCTGGCGTCATTCTTCTGGGAGTCGGATGTCTTCTTGGCTTTGACTTGGTGTTTCAACAAAGTGAGAAGCTATAGTGTCCAGAACAGGCTCCTTAACAATGATCTTTACTTGACCTAAGCTTGAGCCTTCTGAATGTTCGACGCCAAACACAATGCTATGCGCATGTCTTTGTGTGAAAGAATATGGATTGCCATTCAAACTTGCAAACCTCGGCCTCTGAAGCCACGCATCCCTAAGATCTTCCAGTTTGTTTCCACCTGGCCCAAAGTTATCTTTAGGGGCAGGCTTTGCTGCAAACAACTTAGCAGACTGGGTGGTACAATGTTCCTAAACAACCTGTTCCAAGGCATCCAACTTAAAATGTAGTCACTAAAAAAACAACTAGAAACCATGAACCTTAGTGCGCCGATCCGCAGAGGGTCGCGCTCAGAAATCGTAAAACATCCGCAGTTTGGGTGCACTGACCGCGCAAATCCCCGGGGCGCGCAACTCAGAAAGGAAGAAGTTCTCAGTTTGCACATATCGGCGCAAATCAGAAATCGTAAAACAAATCCCCCTGTTTGTGCCATCCGCGCAGAGGGTCGCGCGCGCGCAGGCAAAATCAGAAATCGTAATAAGTCCTCTGTTTGTGCATATCGACCGTTGCGGGCGCAAATTAGAAATTGTAACAAGTCCTCGGGTTGTGCACATTGACCGCGCCAATCCCCGTCCCCTGTTTGTGCACATCGACCGTTGCGCACGCAAATCAGAAATCGTTTAACGTCCTCAGTGTGTGCACATCGACCACGCCGTTCGTGCAGAGGGTCGCGCGCGCAATTCAGATTGTGTACAAAGTCCTCAGTTTGTGCACATCGACCACACCAATCCCCGCAGAGCGTCGCACGCGCAATTCAGACTTCGTAAGAAGTCCTCAGTTTGTGCACATCGACCACGCCAATCCTCGCATCCTCGCAGAGGGTATCACTTTTGCAGGGTGGGTTCGGTTCCATCGCGCCGCTTTAAGAGCCTAACTAATTGCTTTCGTGTCCACATGTGCGAACTAGCTCGCTCGTGCAAGTTTGGCTGTGCGATCTTGCTCGTGCAAGTTTGGCTGTGCGATTTCTCGTGCAAGTTGGCTCGTGCAAGTTGGCTCGCTGCAAGCTGGCTTGTGCAAACTTGGTTCGTGCAGTTGGCTTTGCGGTAAATTCTCGTGCAAGTTGGCTCGTGCAAGTTGGCTCGTGCAAGTTGGCTCGTGCAAGTTTGGCTATTGATTTTACCGGAAGAACCCTTCGCAATGACTTCGAAACATGAGTGAGCATGCCGGTTTTCATGCCACGCGGAAGCAAACAAATCATAAGTGGTGGAGAAAATCGCCTTTGCAAAACCACCGGAGCTTGGCCAACGAGCGCAGCGCAATCTTAGCGAGTCGCCGAATGGCCTGCAAAACAGGCTGAGAAGACAGATGTTTATGCGGGCGCCATTCGGGTTGCTGCAGCGTTGCAGATGCAAACATGTTGCTTGGGAAACAATAAGTTTATGCAAGCTTTTCTGCGCTGGGCCATATGGAGGGTTGCTGGCTTGCTGTGTTCACCTCATGTGAGGTTGAGGGAGCAGCCTTGCCCAAAAACCGTGAACAGGTTTTTTTTGACGTTTGGATGCGTGACAGAGTTTCCAAATGCTTTGGCGAGACGTATTTCTTTACTTAAAAATGTTCGGTTGAACCATGTAGTGAACAATTGCACGATCTTGCATTATAACATGCTGGTACAGTTTTTCTAAATTCATCTGCATGTGCCACATTGTTGTCATAGTGTTCTACTTTGCTGCATTTCATTGCGCGGCTGGCGTGGGATTTTGGGGCAAATGTGTATGGACGTTTGCGGGCGTTTCCCGCTGCTTCAGTTCAAATCGAAAGTTAGGGGTCTGGCTTCGCCATGGCAACTCACGAGGCGTCGGTGTTGCTTGGAAACTCATTTTGCGCTCGTTCCTACGCCAGGACGACTACGATTTTTTATACAAAGTCGTATTGGCGGAAAGCTTAGAGGGACATTGGTGCATATGAGCAGTGCTCCAGGCAAACCAAACATGAGCACTTGTCCAGGTTGGTGATGCCACGGTGGGCAAGACTCATTTATTGTGCTGGGCTCAGCTACGCGGCTTCGGTTCATCCAGCTGCGCCCTGTCTTGACAGCTGCCACGGCAGAAAAACCAGGTCCCGCTACATCAAAGGCTTTCTGCCCAAAAACCCCACCGCCACGCAGGGCACTCAGGTTCAACGACCGCCGCCTTCGTTTTACTATTAAGTTCCAAGATCGAAGTAGAGCGATCATTTGTTGGATTCAGATATATCCAAGGCGTGCATGGAGAGAGTCTTATTTTTTTTTCTCAGAAGTGATTGGGGTCCGTCGGCTGGGGGCCGTCGGCTCGAAGGATTGGCGTGGAGTTTGCGACCCGAACTGTCCCATTAGCTGCCCAGCACTCAGTGGGCAAGTCAGTCAGATTGTTCTTCTGCCGACTGTCAGATCTAGTGTTTGAGTTTCATTTTGATTTTTTCAATACACTCCACGCACAAAAGGTCGGTACACCTTGGTTGCATTGCCATCCGAAGACGATGTCCAAGCTACGTGCCGGGGAGCTGGCTTTAGACGATGCGCGCACCGGTCTTCAACTTCCCGGTGATCAACATTTCATGGTTAGTAACCACCGTGAGCCGAAGATAGTGTATAAACTCGTGTGCCCGAGGTTGGAGGTACAGTGAAGGCACAGATATGGGACACAGCAGGGCAAGAGAGGCGGGGTGGCGAACAGATCTGCAAAGAACATGGACGGCACCCTGAACATTTGTTGATATTCAGGTATCATCTTGAAGGATCATCAATTTTCGGGATTGACCGTTTAAACAAGACCATTTTACTTCAAATTTTGGGCTTCCCCTAAAACATTCGTGCAGCGAGGTTCATCCGTTTGCGCGCGCACAAGGCTTGAGCCTGGAGATAGAAAGAAAGAATGTCCGTAGTGAGAATGCAAAATGCTAAATGCTCAGCCAGTGGCATCGGCCTTCGAAGCTCTGGGAATCTGGGAAGAGCCACAATCTTAGGTTGTTTTGCGGACAGGAGCTTCAGGACCCGAAGATGGTGCAGCTAACGGTTCAATGTTTCAACATGCTGGAAGATATTCCGAATGAAGCTCGGGATGCTGTGCTGTACGCAACTGTTGCTTGCCCCAACCAGCTTGACTTGTTGCAATTCGAGTTTTAGTAACTCCCAAGGCTGACAGCAACCATGGATTTGCAAACTCAAGCTCGGACAAGGATTGATGCTGGGTATGCTTCAGTGCCTTCAAAGAGGGATTCTCCTGCGAATCTTAGTTTCTTTTGGGCGACTTGAGACCCGTGTTAGGTGATAGGTTGGGCGGCACTTTGTTGACTCCAACTTCTGTTGAGGAAACTGCAAGATGTAACGGGAGACAGCTTTCACATCGTGGGTAAAGTGGCTGTCGTGTATTATTACTGTGTTATCATGTAGCCGGCGATGGCATGTTGCAAATTCCTTTAAATGCGCACAGACAAAAGGGCTCAGACATGTATAGTGTCTTCTGCATGACAGGCATATCGCTGAACCTTGGCACATGGTTTTACCATCAAAGTTCAGCTTGCCTTTGCTTTTTCCGGCAGGTATCGAGCCATCACCAGTGCACACTACCGGCGAGCCGTGTTGCTGGCAAGTCTCTTCCATGCTTTTTTGGCTGCTAAGCATTGCTCGTTGCCTGCTGGGGTCGAAAGAAGATCCGGATTCGCCCCACCGCAAGCCTTTTTCTTGATGTCCAGCAAGGAAACCAAAGTGGAAGCAAGAAGTGCTTGGAGCGGTTGGTTCACAGCACCTCGGTGTCCTTGGATCAAGTGAGTTTAAGGTTGGAGCCAGGTTGGAGCGCTTCTCGTGTACGACATTACAAGAGAAGGAACCTTCAAGAGCTGTACGAAGTGGATGGAGGCGGCCCGACTGCGCATCACTCAAGTGGCTGTGGGTCAAAACCAATTGTACCATTTTGGGGTAGGTGCACCACCCATTTTAGTCTATTTCAGTGGGGATTGGGATATTTTTTTCCCCAAAGGAAGCCAAAGTGAAAATTCCTTGCCCCAACTAGTTCTGGGACTAGCCAAGAAGATAATTCCTGTCAGAGCATATGTGAGGCTCCAACGAGTATCGAGGTCCAACCATGCAGGGCTTTGGAAGAGGTAACCCTTGCGAGAGCTTTCTTTTCCCTCCTCGTGAAAAATGAGAGCTAATCAA